CGGTCTCTCCTGCCCGGGCTGGCTTTGAACCGCGATCCTCAGATCTCAGCCTCTTGAGTAGCTAGGATTACAGGCGTGAGCCACCAGCGCCCGGCTAAAACTGAGGAATCTTACGGGAGGTTTTTGGTGCTAAAACCCAATAGTCCCATGTCAATCAGGACAGTCTTTCTAGCAAAAGCTCATACAGAAAAAAAAAAGTTCAAACCGAGAGCCTTTCAGAAGGGTGTAAAACTAGCAGATCGATCATAAACACAAGTCCTCCCACTCCCATCCACTCCTACCTGATTCATCTTGTCAAAGTCCAAGGAAGGCCGCAGACGCCGCGGGTCCTCCTCATGGCGTCGTTTGACCCCAGTTTTGCGGGCATCCAGATCACAAGGCTGTGAGCGGCTTCGGGGAAGGTTTTGGAGACCTCGTGGTCGCCAGGGCAGCTCTGGAGAGGATGCAGGGGAACTTCGAGCAGAGGGCAAGAAGCGGCTTGCTTGTGGACCCAGGCTGGGTGACAGGGAGAAGCGACGCTGGGGTGGGCAAGGTGACAGGGACTCAGCATCACTTTCCCAGGAGCCACTCTGAGGGGAGGTGGCACAAGGTCGAGAGGAATCTTGGGCCAGAGCCAGGCTGAAGAAAGGAGGGCTGTAGGGTCTGTGGGCTGGGGCACATTGAGAAGAGGCACTGGGAGCTTGGAGGAACCTGAGGCTGGAGACCCGCTTCGGAGGGCTCTGGTGAGGCACCTGCGGCCCACCCCCTCCACTACTGCCCCGGTGCTTGATGGGAGTCCACAGCTTGGAGGGGGCGGGCCGCCACACCGGCTGCCAGCGAGACAGGTCCACGGGCACCGAGAGTGAGCGACAGTGCCTCTTGGTTGGAGGGGCAGGGGGCACAGGAAGTTTCTCTGGGTCTGGGGGCTCAGGGTGCAGAACTTGGGAGAGAGGCTGCTCCTGTGGGGAACTTCCTCGACTGGGTGGTCTGAGGTGCAGGCTCAAGCCTGAAGGATGGTAGTTGAAGTTGAGGCTGTCCTGGAATTCAGCACAGGAACAGTGGGGCAGGCCCCTCCAGGAAGCACCTTCTGGAAAGAATTCATAAAAAAATATATTAATGACAGTTAACTTTTTTTTTTTTTGGCTGGTCGTGGGGCTTGAACTCTGAGCCTGGGTGCTGTCCCTCAGTTCTTCAACTCAAGGTGAACACTCTACCACTTGAGTCACAGTGCCACTTCCAGCTTTTTCTGCTTATGTGGTGCTGAGGAATTGAACCCTGGGCCTCATGCATACAAGGCAAGCGCTCTACCACTGAGCCACCTTCCCAGCCCCAATTTTTTTTTTTTTTTAATGCTGGTATTGAGGTTTGAATAAAGGCCTTATGCTCTTACTTGGCTTTTTTACACATCTCCAGTCCAGCTGTTATGCTGATTAACTGGCATGGCTACACTTTTCTGGCTGGCTAGCTTCACACCATGATCATCAGATCTCAGGCTCATAAGAGGCTAAGATTACAGATATTAGCTACTGGCCCCAGGTTTGATAGAAATTTTTTTTTTCTCTTAAGAGCTTTTGTGCTAATCTATGTACCAAACATGTAGCTTACCAAAAAGCTCCATGAGAGCCAGGTGCTGCGGGCTTACATCTGTAAATCCTAGCTACTTAGGAGGCTGAGATCTAAGGACAGAAGCTTGAAGCAAGACTGAGCGCATGAAACTCATCTCCAATTAACCAAAAAGCCAGAAGTGGAGGTGTGGCTCAAGTGGTAGAGCACTTGCCCTGAGCAAAAAAGCTCAGGGACAATGTTTATGTCCTGAGCTCAAGCCCTAGTACCAGCACAGAAAATCTCCATGGGATAGCTACTATGATTAGCTCCATTTCACTGATGAGAGTTCAGTAACGTGCCTCAAATCACTGAACAATCAAATGACCAAACCAGGATTCAGGTCTGTCTGATGTCAAGGCTATATTTCTATTCACTATGCTATACTACCCCACTGTAAGAAAACTATATAGAATTAAAAACGTATCATATATACTGACTGCCACTCACCACACCCCTGTTCACTCTACCTAGTCATATCTACAAACTTTCTTTCCCTGTTCTCAGCCTGGGTTCTAAGAAGCATACCTATACTCTTTTATTCCTGGTGCTTTTCCTTTTCATGTGTCAACAAGGCCAAAATAAGAATTAGGGCTGCTGGGCTGGGAATGTAGCTTAGGGGTAGAGTGCTTACCTAGCATATATGAATCCCTGGGTTCAATTCCTCAGTACCACATAAACAGAAAAAGCCAGAAGTGGTGCCATGGCTCAAGTGGTAGAGTGCTAGCCTTAAGCAAAAGAAGCTCAAGGACAGTGCCCAGGCCCTGAGTTCAAGCCCCAGAACTGGCCAAGGGAAAAAAAAAAAAAAGAATGAGGGCTGCCAAGAAGTGAGGCACAATTAAACAGGTAAGAGATTACTTTTCTTCCTAGGGAGGGTAAAAGGGTAGAACAGGGTATTGATGATGGACCTATACTTGGGCCAAGTACCTACTTGGATTCTCCTTCCCCTAAGAATTATTTATTTAAAAAATTTAATTGTTATTATAAAGGTGAGGTACAGAGGAGTTACAGTGACATAAGGCAGGAAAACAGTACATTTCTTTTTGGACAATATCACCCCTTCCCTTGCTCTATCCCAGTTTTTCCTTCCTATCCCTACCCACAAGTTGTCTTTTTTTGTCGGTTGTAGAGCTTGAACTCAGGGCCTAGGCTCTTTTGCTGAAGGCTAGCCCTCTACCACTTAAGCCACAGTATCACTTCAGGTTTTCAGGTGGTTAATTGGAGATAGGAGTCTCATGGACTTTCCTGCCTGGGCTGGTTTTGAACGACGATCCTCAGATCTCAGCCTGCTGAATAGCTAGGATTACAGGTGTGAGCCATCAGCACCCAGCTCCTACCCACAAGTTGTATAGTTCATTTTCAACATAGTGTCCAGTGAGTAGCATTGCTGCATTATTCACCTTTTGTCGCTCCATTTTGTGCCTCCCTTTTACTCCCAAAGACATATGAATGAACGAACAGAACAACAAAAAAGAACAAAAACAGCAATAAAGCAAAAACCTGGAGTTCATTTTGGTAAATACTATTTTGTATGATAAGATGTTCATAGGCACTGTGCCTTTCTGTTCCTCTTCTAAGAGTATCCGCCTTTGGTCCCACTGTGTGAGAATGCCTAGAGACCTGTAAAATTTATTATGTCCTAAGCATTGTTTTAAAGGAAGAAAGGAGAAATGTGCTAGAAATGGTCCTCACTGCATTCCACCCAGTATTATTACTTTTTGTGGTTAGCTCATTAAGGGACAAAGGATCTATTCCAACATCCTCTGAATGGAATTTTGCAGAGGCTGGAGATTTGGGAGAAAAAAAAAATCACAAGTATATGAAAACTTGTGATAGTAAAAATCATGCCTAACGCTATCTGGTCAATAGTTCTTATCCCTACTAAGCTCCAAGAGGGTAAGGATCAGGAGTCCTATGACACAATACTCTGCCATGACATCACTTGGCTTTCAGCAAGTATTTAATAAAGAAGAAAACATTTTTGCCAACTTACTTCCATTGCCAAGTATCCCAGGAAAGAAAAGAAAAGCACAAAAGCCTGGTAGCCTAAGTTAGCGATAAAGGCCCATGACCACAGGCCCTTTAATTATAATCTAGGACTTTAGACCTCAGATAAAGTATCACATATGAAAAATATGAGGTGATTCATACATATATATATATATTCAAATATATTATTCAAAAAATACACTATTGCTTTATATAGGATTCTAGAAATTACCTAAATATACATCAGTAGGAGATTAATTAATAAACTTAAGGTATATCAATTCAGTGTGAGAATACTTGGCTATAAAAGCAAAGGAATGCTTAGTATACTGATAGGGAAAGACCTCGCAGCTGTATTAAGTATAGATAACAGAATATGCAAGGTTTCCCGTTTAGGAAAATAGGATGGTGGCTCATACCTGTAATCCTAGCTACTCAGGAAGCTGAGATCTGAGGATCATGGCCAGAAGACAACCCAGGCAGGAAACTCTATGTGACTCTTATTTCCAATTAACCACCAAAAAGCCTGAAGTGGGACTGTGACTTAAGTGGTAGAGTACTAGTGTCCTGAGCAAAAAAACCCGAAAACCCCTCAAAATCTCAGAGACAGCACCCAAACCCTCATTTCAAGCCTCAGAATCAGCACACACACACGAAAAGGAATATATATGAAAGAATATATGTATATAAATGTATTATGTAATACACATATGTATTTAGTTCTACTTGTATAAAAAAATTCTGGTTGGATGTACAAGAAAATAGTAAGAGGCTGGGCTGGGAAGGTTGCTCAGTGGTAGAGTGCTTGCCTTGCATGCATGAGGCCCTGGGTTCAATTCCTTAGCACCACATAAGCAAAAAGAAAAAAGCTGGAAGTGGCGCTGTGGCTCAAGTGGTAAAGCGCTAGCCTTGAGCTGAAGAGCTGAGGGACAGCACCCAGACCCAGAGTTCAGGCCCCAGGACCAGACCCCCCCCAAAAAAAAGAAAAGAAAATAGTAAGAGGGCTGGGAAGGTGGCTCAGTGGTAGAGAGCTTGCCTTACATGTTTGAGGCCCTGGGTTCAATTCCTCAGCATCACATAAGCAAAAAAGAAAAAAGCCGGAAGTGGCAGAGCACTAGCCTTGAGCTGAAGAGCTGAGGGACAGCGCCCAGGCCTAGAGTTCAGGCCCCATGACTAGACCCCCCCCAAAAAAAAAAGAACAGAAAATAGTAAGAGGAGGTTATTTGTTTTTGCCAGTCATGGGGCTTGAACTCAGGGCCTGGGCACTGTCCCTGAGCTTCTTTTGCTCAAGGCTAGCACTCTACCACTTGAGCCACAACACCAGTTCTGGCTTTTTCTCTATATGTGGTAATGAGGAATCCAACACAGGGTTTCATGCATGGTAGGCAAGCACTTTATCACTAAGCCACATGCCCAACCAGTAAGGAGTATTTTTGTTTTGTCCCATACATAATAAACAAGTGTTCTACCACTGATAGTAAAGGCTACCACTGAACCATAGCTTCCTAGTGACTTTAAGGGAGGTGATGGGAACTGGGTAGATAGGGAAGGATAACTTTTATCAGTATAATGTTTGTTATTTTTAATTTTTAAAACTATATAAATGCAAATCCTATTCAAAAAACATTAGAGAATGGGGCTGGGAAGGTGGCTCAGTGGTAGAGCGCTTGCCTTGCATGCATGAGGCCCTGGGTTCGATTCCTCAGCAAAAAGAAAAATAAGCTGGAAGTGGTGCTGTTGCTCAAGTGGTAGAGTGCTAGCCTTGAGCTGAAGAGCTGAGGGACAGTGCCCAGGCCCAGAGTTCAGGCTCCACGACCGGACCCCCCCCAAAAAATTAGAGAAGTCCCTACAAGCTAGAATAAGAGCAACTAAACAGGTAACTTTCCTGCAAGGCAGCAAAATGGAGACAAGTGCTGATCTCAGAAGCTGACTCCAGCAAGAAAGTTCTAGAAGTATGATAACTAGTCTTGATCACTAGTAACCAATGAAAGAAATGTGTGAAGACAAGGGCAGACACACATATACAAAACATACAAACTTCCAAAACACACACAATACCTTACCAGACACAAGCTGGAAAGGGTTCCCACAGTTGGATATGTCTGCATGATCAGGCAAAGGCTAAGAGAGAGAGAAAGAGAGAGAGAGAGAACATACATCATGATTTGTGTCCAGAACACATTAACAAACTTACAGCAAGACCTTTTCAATTCTTGGACTAACCAGGGTGTTAGAGACTCCTAAGTGTTTTCTTCCTATTGTCTTTCTAAAGTTAGTGAGTAAAGTAATCCACACCTTCCAATATTTCAAACCCTCTCCACCCAAGTTTTAGTATCCTTCTCTATTAGTGGAAAAATCCCTGCCCCCTTCTTTTTGGGCTGGGTTTGGAGCCTTAGTGGGCCCTTCTATTACAAGTACAATGCTTCATATAACACAGAACAAGGGTAAAGTGGTAGCAACAAACAGCCTCAGAAAAAAGGGGGAGAGGGTTATGGAGAAGCAGGAAGACTGGTCTTTTACCAGACTGATGCTGAAGCGTGTGCATTTCAGCTCATCCAGAGTCTGCTTCTGTAGCTGCTCAGTGATCAGGGTTATCATGTTTCTCCCCAGGATCTGACTTGCACACTTTGGAGCAAATGATGGATGTCTTCCCTGTTGTTCTTCCAGACCTCACTCGTGAGCCGTCTTCTGCCACTGCAGCACCATTCTAGCACCATTGGGACTTCCCTCTCCAGTCATGCCTGCTGAGTCTGCCAATTACAGAGGGACCAGCCCCAAGTGATATTAGAGATGTACCTGGTCCAGAGATGGAAAATGCATGGCACACATACCACAGCACTCCTATGCCAGACCTCTGGCAGACAGTAATTGATCACAGTTCTTTCCTGCTAAGCCTAAAGATAGCCTCAGAAACATTCTGAACTTGGCACTCCAGATATCCAATAAAATAAACCAGAGTTGGCAAGCAAATTGAAACCTATTTACCACTCCGAACCTGGCTCATGCTCTGCTGTTTCTACCTGGAATACCAGTACCACTTAGCAAACAGCTCAAGTGACAAAGAGAGGTGCCCAATTGGTTTATTTCCATACCGACCAGCCCAGTATTTTCTTTATCTTCCAGTCAGAAGCGAAGAGAAGCACTCTTCTCCCAAACTACATACTATAGCACAGTGAGGAGCAATAGTTACAGGCATAACTTTCTGCTTCAGAACAGAATAAATAGGATTTTAAGTCTTGAATAACTAATATATTATTTTCTAATAGACACTATGTATATGCTCCTATAAAATGGCAAGAAGAAAAGGAAATGGTCAGGGTAATTCTGATTCCATTTCAAGCTGGGCATCTATGACTCAGGCCTATAATCCTACAGATACACAGGAGGCTAAGATACAAAGGATTGAGCTTGGAAATCAGCCTGGAAGAAAAGACAATGAGATTCCACTTCCAATTAACCAGCAAAAAGCCAGGCTGAATATGACTTAAGTGGTAGAACATGATCCATGAGCAGAAAGCCAAGTTAATGTGAGGCATTGGGCTCAAGCCCAGTACCAGCAAAAAGAAAAACAATCCCAAAACAACCCCACAACTTCATCCAACTAAGAGTTTAGCTTGATCTGACTCAAAGACCAATGAATCTAATTAACCAATATAGATAACCAATTTTTCATTGTCAATTTCTGATAGAAGCAAACAATCTTTTTCAGAGAATAGGCTTCAAGTCCATGCAATTATTGTGCAAGAAGAGTGTTAACCTAGTGTCTTACTTTATTCTATTTCCAGAAATCGCTAGCAGGCAGATAACTCATCAGTGTACATAACATTAGCAAGTAGAGAGAACAATTAATAAAGCTGAATCTCAGTCTAATTTGCTGTAACCTCTTAATGTTCCTCAGTTTATCCATATACAAAAATAGGCACAACAGTCACAGGTATGATATAACATGGATTATCAAAATGTACAAAAGTATACCATCTGTCCTATAAAAATCAAGAGTCCAAATAGTCATTTCTCATCTCTCCTGTTAGCTGTTCTAAAAGCCTCAGTGTACCAAAAGTGGTATTATTAAAATGAAGAAGGCAATAGGGTCTGTCTCTCTAGCTGGGTAACATCCTCTCTCACCTTACTAAGGAAAAGCCCAAGATGGCTCCTCTGTGACCTGGGGGTGGGCAGAGATACCCTCCACACAAAAAAAGAATGAATTATCTCTGTCCCATTCCCACTTCAGAGGGAGACAACAAGAAAGAGCAAAGGAAACACCTATGGATGTACTTGAAGTTCTTTGAAAGAAAGGTGCAGAAGTAAATCATCATTATACTTAACAACCATTCTCATGCATAATTATTATACCACCTTGAACAAAGTTGCAGCTTCCTGAAATCTCCCTTTGCTGTGTCTCCTATGCTCCTATGGCAGAAGCTACAGCACATATCACTTCTTGCTCCTACTTCCTTAGCTTTTGCCTTCAAAGGGAATGGAGGGGGTGGGGGAAGGAGGAGAACGATGGAAGGGGTGACACTTACCAAGATGCATTGTACTCATATAAAAACCTGACTTACAGAATTGAAACTTCTTTGTACAATTACATAGTAGTAATAATAATAAAGGGAACCTAACTATGGTTTTACCCTAGAGACTCCAGGCCTCAGCCTGACCAGCCATGAGGAGCAGGGAGTGAAACAAACTCTAGCTTTTCATGAGCCATTTGGACAAACGGAAACCTCCCAGCCCTCTCTAGAATCAAGTGAAGAGAGTAATTTTGTATTTTTCTGCATTTTAATTATTGGGATGTGGCCACACACAGCGGTAATTGGAACAATGCAACCACCACCCCGCAAGTGATACTCTGAGTTTCCTAAACAGGCCAGGCTGAGAGGGGGAACAGAACGGGGAAGCCATAAGGAATCAAACCAGGACACAAAAGAAGGTAAACCAGCTCCACAAGGGGCCTTTCTCAAGCAGGCATTGAAAAAAGTGTTAGAAGCCCTCTCTGGCCGCCTTCGCTCCCCTTCCATTTTGTGTATATGAGAGGCAGAGACAGCCCCTGAGCAGTCACTAAACAAGTTAAAACTTCTCAGCCAAACAACTGGCACAGAGCTCAGCCCTTCACAGAGCAGCAGCAGGCCGCTAGGCCCTCCCAGGAACCCCACCAGGCCTAACTCTCAGTCTAGACGCTCCCTCCACCATAATCCTCCTAAAGATTGGACCCCCACACACACTGCATCTCTTATTGGATGTCATTAACCCCTGACACTCGTGTTTCAGGAATGCTGAGATTGTGCTGAGACCTGGACAACGGAGGATCAAGTCAAGCCAAGAGACAGGAGAATCACAAATGCCCTAGGGACCTTCCCCCAGGTACCAAGCCCCACCATCTCTTGGGAGAGACTGAAGAAAAACATGAGCAAGGCAAGGAGGTGCTAGAACAGGTAAGTGGGGAACTGACTGCTCTTCCTCCATATGGTTCTGGTGGGGCAGGAGTGACAAGTGGGTACCCCTCCCCCACCCCCCCACTCCCCGATGAAGAAGCAAATGGCAAGGCCCCCTCCAAATCTTCAACCTCTCCCTCCGTTGCCCTGCCTGTCCCTGCGGGGTGGGGCATGAGGCGTCCACTGGTCCCTGGGAGGGGGTACGCCAGGGCTCACTAAAGGGATTCGCTCTCCTCTTCCCACTCAGGTTCCCTCATCTAGCCACGGGAAGCGAACTCAGGACGCCAGGGATGGGGAGGGTCTGGGACTTAGCACTCCCCCACCCCCCTCCCCCCACCGGGTCCCGTGCTCTCCCCGCGGAGGCGGCCTGTGAGGCCCAGCCGCGCGGGCCGCTGGACTGGGGGAGGGGAAGGAGAGAAGGAGGGAGGGACGGTCGAGATGCCCGCCCCGAGGCCCCAACGCCACCTGCCCTCCGCCACCTACCGCGGCTCCTCCAGCTCCCAGGGCCGCGGCCGGAGCAGCTCTGAGCGCTCCTTTCGCCCCACGGTGCCCTTAAAAGGCGTCGGCACGAACCAACAGGCCCCTGAGGAGAGTCTAAGTATCACTCCGTTTCGCAGAATCCCCCTGAACCACCTGCAGAGGCCCGAGCCCAGGATCGCTCCTCCTTCAAAAGCCTTCCTACTATAGAGCCGAAGGGAACGAGCCTGGAGCTTTGATTTCGGGGTGGAGTGGTTTCCTCACTCGCGAGTCACCCCCTTTAAAATAGCCTGGAAAGTGGACGAGCCCAGTTAGAGGCATATCTTAAAACCCGCGGGGGAGGCCCCATCGGACGGAGGTAAACAAAGCCCTTGCCTCCTCTCCTTGTCCCTACATCGACACAGCTGAAACGCCTCATTCAATTCTGGCTACGTAACAGAATCAGCCACAGTGCCTCTCACCTGCTCTTCAGTCCCAACAGATAAGGCCACCTTTCTGAAAGAATTCCCCTATCCCCCCCCCCCAGGAAAGGACCGGTCCATAGCGTGAAGGCTGCTGGGAAATGTAGTCCAAGCGCCGATTAGGGCCTGCTCTGAGTACCTGGAGCCCCTCTTGCAGCTGCCGGATCGCTCGAACCTTACAAATCGCAGCATTTATAAAGGTTGCGGGGCAAGCCCGCTTGATTCTTTAATTTTTCCCTTCCCCCAAGACAGTTTGGAAAGCTGAGGAGGGCCCAGGGGCTGTTTCACTCCCTCTGTGCCTCCCCCCCACCACCTCCCGCCAGCGGGATGAGGTAATGGGATTGTGATTATGACATCATAGACAGTTCAGTTGCTTGGTGTGTGGGGGAGTACGGTGGTTACAGCTGGACCAGTTTCCTAAAGACGGAAGGGGAGGGAGGAAAACAGACGAGTGGGGAAACGAAATCGACAGCACTGTTATTTACTCTTCAGGAACAGGAAACCACCTTTATTAAGTCTACCACTACCACCACCTCCCACCTCAAAGTTTATTCCTTTTTAAAGAGACTGTAAGACAAAAGTGGATGAAAAGATTAGTTTCTGGCTCAGGTAAATTTGAGTTTCAGCTAGATCAAAGAGATGTTTGGGGACGGGGGAGGTTTTAAACAATGCTTTCATATGATCTCTTTTACAGATTTCTTTTTTAATTGGTTAGGAAGTAAAGCAAGTAATTCCATTGTTAAAATTATCAGAAAGTCCCCTGAAAAACATGTCCATTATAAAATTTTTTTTTTTTGGTCCGGTCATGGGGCCTGAACTCTGGGCTTAGGCACTGTCCCTCAGCTCTTCAGCTCAAGGCTAGTGCTCTACCACTTGTGCCACAGTGCCACTTCCGGCTTTTTTTTCCTTTTTGCATATGTGGTGCTGAGGAATCGAACACAGGGCCTCAGGCATGCAAGGCAAGCACTCTGCCACTGAGCTACCTTCCCAGCCCGTTCATTCTAAATATTTTGTGCCTTACTCAAGTCTAAAACATAAATAAGTGAGTCAGTGGTGGGGATCTTCTTCAATGAGATGGACCGAAAAGGAAACAGAAGCCTACATGTCTGCAAACTGAAAATGAAAAGTACAGAGAAAAAGTGAAGTGTTAAGAAAATGGTGGTAGATGGGGCTGGGAAGGTGGCTCAGTGGTAGAGCACTTGCCTTGCAAGTCTGAGGCCCTGGGTTC